CTTCCTGAATTGATCTTTGCCAGCTCCATCTCTGTGCAGACCATTTCCAACAGGCAAATTTTCATGCTGTCTCTAAGTAAGATCTTCCTAATTTTATTCCATACATGTTTCTACTCTGTGGTCCTCACCAAACATTCCCCTTATGTTCTTGGTTTCTCTACTAGAAAAACCTAATCTCAGCTTCAAAACCTCCACATTATTGTTTCCCATTAATCAGGAGATACCTATTAATAGCCAGCCCCCTATGTATTTAATAGACTTCAAAAATGTACCATGCAGGCCCTCCCTGTAGGGCAGTGAGTTAAAAACACTACACTGAAAAGCTGGCTGCAGCCGCTTCAGCCACAAGTTTGATCCTGGCCAGGGAGATGGCCCACATGGCGTGGCAGACCTCTCCTGTCTTCGCCCGCTGCTCCCCTCAGCAGTGTACTTTCATCGATCTGCCTGTTCTGCTCCCCGCTCTGCCGCTGGTGAATCCTCTCGTTGCTCCTGTACCTCTGGCCTGTACCCTAGTTCTGTATGCATAAATGATCTGTTTTTTTTTTTTTAAAGTAACATGCTCAATCATGTAGTGTTTCAGGTCATTTCTTTTATCAGCTATTTCATGATTCTCGTCAAACCCTCTCATCTAAAGGACCTTGAACACCCCAATATTATTCTTGCCCAAGAATTCACATGCAGTTAATCTTTAGTGACATTGGTATAGGGGAACCATGGAGAAATTTACCCTGTATCATCTTCAGTAAACCCCTAAATATCTGTTCTTGTCAAGTTTCTTCTCTGCAGCCCCCGATTCTCAAGGACTCACCAAAGAGTCCTTGTTTATTTTCCCTCAAAGCACTTAGCTTTTGTCTCCTTAACCATGTTTTGCAGAGCAATTTCACTCTGCCTTGAAACCAAAGATTCTTCTCATCTCCTGGATAAGTAAAACAAAGGTCCAGTGCTTCACCGGCCCATTCTCCTTAGAAGTTTATTTATAATCCCTTCAGTAATTATAGCATCATCTTTGGGATTCCTTTATATGTGAAGAGATAATTTTATAAAACTGATGATAGACATTAAGCTTTTCTAGTTGTTCCTCAGTAGGACCATCTCTGGTTTACTTAATTTACCATCACAGGAAGCAGAAATGTTTCCCTTATTCCCTTATAAACAGTTGCTTAAAATTCATATATTTAGTGATATTCCGCATTGTTTCAAACCCCAGCACATTTCTATAATTTTAAGAGATTAGCCTACTGATTATAAAGAGGTATTTTCTTAGTGATGGAAGAGGGCAGTAGAACTTTGGATGGTAATGCATTTTTCTTTTTCCTGGAAATATAAACCATGATGATACTAGTGATTGGAACCTATAAAATAAAAAGGTTCTAGATATCAAATGAAATAAGTTGTCTTTGGTATCAACATTTTTGTAAGGCATTAATAAATCTGATTTTCTCACTATCTTATTATTTTTCTGCAGGAGTAGGCATAAAATTGTCAAACTAAATAATTGTTTAAAAACTTATTTTCAATACCTAATTTTTCTTGACCCCTTGTTAGTAGAAATCTATGATTTTTTTAGACAATTACAGATGGGCTTTATTATTCACAGTGGAAATTTCTTTGGAGCCCATGAAAGTTTAGCAGGGTTAGAAAGAGCAGAGAGTGGGAAGAAGCTGTACTATTTCTTAGGTCAAGTAAATTTTTATGGGGTCAGTAGATTTCAACAACTGTTCATCTCACTGACATAGCCCAGTGAAATTTCAGCATAAATATATCTTGTTAAGAAGTTACGAAATCCCATATGAGGTATTGTGCTTGTTTATACCCTCACAAAGAACAAGTTCGTTGTCAGCTGAACCTTAGGCAAAGCTGTGTTATTTTCCTTAACATTTGGTGTATCTGATTACCTTGTGATACTGTCGCCTCAGTAAAAGCTGTAAACAAAAAACTGCCACTTTCACAGTTGGGCATGGGGCTCTTCAGAGCTTTTGTCATTGCATAGGCAGAAACAAATCTAGAGAAAATAATTTGTACATTGTCTAAATTATATTGTTTTTATAAAGGAGTTGTAGCAAATGAAGACATGCTCAGCTACAGTTTAGGTGAAACACAGAAAGCTAGAGTAACACTTACTTTTAGAAATATCAAGTGTTACTCACTGTTTTAGAATTAATTACATAATTATCCTGCAGAACACAAAGATCCCAGGGTACCTTAATAGAAACACTGCACTTCCAAGTAAAATAATAATAATTAGCACCTAGTATATTCCAAGTACTTTATTAACTGTAATTTTTAACTCTCCATATCTCTGTGTGTAAATAAACATCATTAAGAGTATTAATCTTTTTTATGGTTTAGAAATAAGAAAACTAAGGCAGGGAAATTGATTTGAATGATAAATTAGGGATTATGGTCTTGCATCATTTAAAGAGGCAGGTATTCAATAGAAACAATAGATGTTAGTAGAGAACAAAAATTGCTCTTACAGTTATTTATAGATTACTAGGCAGTAATTAATTAAAGGGATCATCTTCCAAACCTGGGGTCAAATCAATTTAGTTTTTTTTTTTTTTTTTTAAGAATTTTACAACATCCTTTTGATTGCTGCAGATGCCTGTGATATTACAGAATTTACTTTCGAGTGACCATCCTGGGTACATGACCTTAAGATAGAATTTTATGTGCTTAAAATCATTGGGTGGAGAGATTGAAGAGATGTAATAAATTGAATGCCACAGTCATACTAGGGAAGAAATTCAGGATTACAAACCACATCTTGCAAATAAAGCTGTGTCTTCTTCCATGACACTTTAGCTACATGTTACCATTCTTGATGAAACAGTATGGGTTCTAAAATGGGTATGAAAAGACTGGGTAGAAGTTCTGGATCTCCAGGACACTTGATGCCTCTTTGTAAGAACATAATCACTAGAATGAAAGCTACCACTGGAACAGACAGTTAATACCATCCCTAAAACTCGGCAACACAAAGACAAGGTGAAACAAGGCCAGCCAGACACAAGTCGTAAAGCCTGCAGAGTAAAGGGATGTTCTCTGATCCAGTGTTCCAGAACTGCAGAGTCATTCGACAGGAAAAAGTCGTGATTAATGCCCATTTGGGAAGAACCAGAGCTAGAAGGCTGTTAGCCACTAAACTTCATTTGGGGAGATAAGTAAGACAAATAGTGACCTTGCAATGATCTGAAATGGCTCTACCATGGGGATATTTGAGCAAGAAAATGAACACATTCTAGCTTCACTGCTTTGGTGTTTTGAAATGATTAACATGGAGAAATGAAAGGTTTCATCATGGAAAAGTTGCTGGTAGATGACTAAACAAAACATAGGGATTTTAGGTTAGCTGTCTATTTCTTATGCTATTGAATTTATTTTATTTGGTGAGAATCTCTTGCTCTGACAGCATCCATTGCTAAGATAGTTTATGAACAATACACATGTTCAGCATTCATTTGGGTAGTTGAATTTAATTGCAAGGTATATAGTACTTAAAATCTGCTGCCAGAGCTGGAGTCATTTCACTAGCTGCATTATAGAGATGTTTCTTCTTCCTAACAGACTATTAGAAAAAAACCCTCCATTATCTCATATTCCTTTCTGTTCACACACACACACACACACACACACACACACACACACACACACACACACACACACATTTTTCTTTTGCAGCCCCAACACCCTTTAGATCTTCTATGGACAGCCTGCCATTTTTTCCTTTTGCCTTTTCCAAGAACTAGGAATTTATAGAGAGCTTGGAAACAATTTGCTGGCTATCTGCCTATTCTTCCTTTATTGAAACCAGAAATTCCATTTACAGTAAACTTATACTCAACAAGAGCAGTATGCTCTTGTTGACAGTACATTCTTATAAGGGATTACTGATTCTTGCATGTAAGAATCTAAGAAATAGAAGCATACACCCCAAAAGGGTCAAACTTTACTTGTGACATATATAACTGGCATACAAACCATGATTTTGAAAGAGTCATTAAAAAAACATGGTGTAGTAAAATTTCTAACTTTAGACAAAAATAAAAACGAATCCTTAAATTCTGTTGTTAGAACAAACTTACTTAAAATTCAGATGTCACAGGACACTTATCTTAAGCAATTTATTTTGTCTTCCAGTGAAAAAATGCACCTCAAATATGTATTTCTGAATACTGTGTCTTTGAATTATTAAAGTTAGAGAGAGGCATGACACTTTTTATATAGTGTGATATGGGGGGGTGCCTTTGCAAATTTATTTAATATTCTATCATTATTCTTATTAGAGAAGTTCTTAGAAAAGTCTAATCAAAATATATAGGTATACATGGTCCAATTCTAGGAAAAATTCAGATCAAACAAATTGTGAACAAAATGTGGACATTTCTCTTTCCATAGAACTGACACACGTGTACACACTCACATACACAAACACTCTTTGTTTGCTGCCCTGACACCCTTCAGCTCTTCTTCCACGGACAGCCTGCCATTCTCTCCTTTCGCCTTTTCTAACTATTATAATTGAGACACACACCTTTACCAGCTCATAGTGAACAGATTCTTGCTTCTTTCCCTTCCCCTTTCCCATTTCTTCTCCCTTTTGAATATGTCAGACAACTGTCTTTCAAAATAACACCATCAATTAACTTTTTAAATTAAAAAAAACATAGTGAGCCCTGCTCCTGGCCTCTGCATTGATGTCTACTGTGTGCAAGAGGCTGTGCAGGGACTGATAGGCCCGTTTGAACAGACTCTTCAGTGGAAGGCCAGGCACTAGGGGCTTCTGTAAACCAGGCTGTTTCTTCAGCCAGCCCCAGCTCCAGGTGAGTGACCCGTATGCTGAGGGCTCTGAGATCCAGCCAGGAGAGAGCCACGAGATAGGAGAAGAGTGCCACTTCTGTGTCTTTGTCTAGAAGTTGTTCTTTGTGTATTTCTGTTTGTTTCCTTTGATGGCAGTTAGCTACTTTAGTTTCTCACCACATTCATTTCCCCTTTTGCAGAACCTGATGATCTCCGTGGGGACTCTGAGCTCAGCCATCAAAGTACCCCTGTCTCCCAGGATGCTCGCAATTCAACAATAGATGCAGGTGGCATTGAAAGCATCGCCCAGTGTCCCCAACAGCTTCCTCAGATGATGGCTGCAGGTAAAGGTCGGTGGCCAGCACAGGACACAAACAAAACCTTTTTTAGTTCTTAAAGGAAAAGCTTGCTCAGCCATGAAAATATGCAGTGAACCAGGAGCCTAGGATCCTTAAGTTAAGTCTACAACTAGTGGATATCAAAGAAGATTAGGTCAAATTTGACATATACCTCTGGGTTTTTTAGGTCTGTACTACTGGGTTTTAAATGTTATTTATCTAATTATTTGGTTTTGGTGAAAGCCTGTGCTTATAGGAAATATTTTGGAATAGTTGTTAGAGGCGCCCTCCTAAATGTAATAATGTGAAAAAAAAATGTACAGGAGGGAATCTGTTAACTAGAAGATAAATAACTTTAGTCAAGACCAGTTTCACTCCTTGACAATTGTTTTCAGAGATTCTACTAGTGATTTCAAGGTGTGCCTGCTCCAGAAGTACATTCAGAGACAGATGAATATATTTATTCTTAGTCTACTAAGCCGATTGACTTGTTTACCAAGAGAGTATTCCTTCATCCCCACCCTGGAACTTAACTAATGTTGTTTCACTGTGAGAGGAAAGTGATTCTTCAGTTTTTTCCAGGGGAGCTTCCTTAATGGCATACTGTGCATAAACTACATGTCATTAAGTTTCTTCCCAGAATGTATTCACAAACTCTTTATGTTTACGTCTGGAAAAGACATTGCTGTAGATTATAGTGCTCTATTTTCTGTGTGGTTTGGGAACGTGCTAAATGAAGCCTCACATCTCTAGAAATGTGATTTCCTTTAAAACAAACACCCTTGTTCGTTGACTCTGAAGTCATTGTCTGTTATCCCTGACCCCCTCCCCCTTTCCCCGGTCCTGAACCCTCCCTTCCCTGCCCCCTCCCCCCACCCACAGCTGCTGATGGTTTGGGGAGTATAGCGATAGACACGACCCAGCTCAACATGTCTGTAACAGATCCCACAGCCTGGGCCACCGCCATGAATAACTTGGGCATGGTTCCCGTGGGGTTGCCTGGACAGCAGCTTGTGTCTGGTAAGTTTTCCCCTGGGTTTGAAGAGGCAGCAATGCCCTGGGGTGTGGGTGGCAGGTGCCCAGTAATCTCTCCATGCGCAGGCGTTGAGGATGATCTGAGATTACCAGGAGGGCAGGTGGTTCTTGAGATTCCTTTCCTCACCCCGCTCTTCTGCCTAGTGCTGTTCTCGAAAAAGCCCCACGCAGTGTCTATCATCTGCAGCATTACATCAATTTCTTATTTAAAATTGGAAAATGGAAAAGCTGATTTTTGCTCTCCAGTTGCAAAGCTACTTCCCCATACATTACACCACAGCCTTCTCTCTCAGAGAGGTATATACTGTTGTTGCTGCTGTTCCTGTTTTACAAATAGAAAAATAAAGGCCCAGAGTTCGGTTGACTTTTCCAGCATAGAAGTGGCCAAGCTGGAAACCCAGTTCAATGGCTATCAAATCCCACATTCTCTTTCCACCACATGTTGGAATTTTAATAAAATGTAGTCAATAGAGACAGTGTTTCCAGATATCAACAAGTAGAATATCATTGAAAGAATGTCATTGTTTAAAGTGACAATGCTTATTGAGGACTTCCAGGAACCCTATAACAAGTGCTGTGGGAAACAGATATAGGTGTCCTTGAGGAGCATGTTTTCCTAAATTGAAGACAGAAACAACAATAAAAATAATGTGTAGAAGCAGGTGTTAAGGAGTGGTATAAGCTAGTAATGTAGTAATTTCCAAAAGAGTCAATCTTGGACACTCTGAGGGAAAATGTTATAGGGAGGCGGAACTTGAGCTCTCAGAGAGACATAAGTCTGGCAATATTCACCTGCTCACTCACTCTTTCATTCAAAGGATATTTATTGAAATACAGTTTGGATAAAGGCTTGTAGCAGTAAACAAATCCCAGGTGGTCCCTGCCCTCAGGAGAGGGGACAGTCCATTGACAGTCCATTATTATACTAAGATAGTTGTCAAGAGAATGTCAGGAGAACAATTTACATTTTCCCACCAGTTAGAGAAGGGTAGGTGGTAGACACTAAGTAGAAACCAATGCCTTTCATAATTGCTAAGTTCTACACCCACAAACCTGTAAAGTTTGTGCTGAATTGACCAGACATTCAATTGCTTTTTTAATTTTTTTAAGATTTATTTATTTATGCTTGCAGAACTGGGGTACAGGCCAGAGATGTGGTGGGTGAGAGGATTCACCAGACAGAGGGGGGGACAGAACAGATAGATTGACAAAGTACACTGCTGAGGGAAGCAGCAAGTGGGCTAGAAGAGGTCTGCCACACCATGTGGGTCAGCTCCCAAGCCGCCAGGATCAAACTTGTGCTGCAGTGGCTTTGGAGAGCATCATAATGCGGTGCTTTAACCCATTGCGCCAACAGAGAAAGCCCTAGTTGCTTTTTCTTTTTAATTTTTGTCCCTTGGGGCCATAGATGTCAGTCTTAACTAGTTGTAGTAAATTAAAAATATAAAATGATGTATATGTAATTATCTGTACATGCACACACATACACGTGCATGCATACACCAATATATAGACCCTCATACCCATGCACATACATGTACAAATATGCACGTGTGTACAAATGTAACAAAGAAATTATGAGACAAGATAGGTGGCAGGGAAAGTGGGAAATAGAAGATTGAGTTATAAAGCAGTATACTTAGAATATTTTTAAACTTCTCCAAAATTTTAAATCCATATATTAGTCTGCTGCAGGTGGGTATGGGGTAGGTGGTATGGGGGGAGGGGGTGGGGTACATAAACATTTCTAACTTTTAACATGTGTTTACTCAGGCCCTTTTTCCCTAAGGCTAATCTGGATAGATGCTTCCTTCTATAACTTGTGAGCAAAGATTTGTATTTTTCCACCCAAATTTTCTCAGCTGCCTAATTGAAATATTCATAGAGCAAAAAATTGCTTTACTCCTTCCTCCACCTCCCTCTTCTCTCAGAAAATATTGTGTGACTTTTGCAGTAAGCTGCAACCTCAATAATTCATTATTTTTTCTTATGATTTTGAGTCTTCTGACATTTTAACCATGACCAATTTATGATTTTCCCCAGCAACTTACCATGAAAAGAATTACAGCTCTACTCGTTATATAAGATTTACCGTATCTGCCCTGAATTTCATTCCCTATCTCCTGTATTAGCCAAACTGCTTAAACTGTTTTTGAGCCTTCCAGGGTCTTTCTGGGCACTTCTTCATCCTTCCCTAGACTGACAATTGATCCCCACGTGGCTTTGTTCTCAGGGTTGCCAGATGACTTCATCTTTGGACATAATTTCAGGGGCAGGTTTGTTTTATTTGGTTAGTGTTTACATATTCCAGTCTTTTTTCTATGGAAATATTGTAATCATATTAAATATAGGAAGTTATATTATGCATTTTTGTTTACCTCTTATCCTAAAGCATTTTTCCATTTTATAGATTTTATTAAAAAATTTGCTCCATGGAGCAAATCCTCCCCAATTTACTTACCACTACAGATGTTTACATTTAGGTTGTTTCCATTTTTACACTTTTACAAGTCAAATTTTCATTTTCTGGAAACTTAAGTCTCTTCATGCATTTAAAAGCATTTTACCTTTTCTGTAAAAGGAGAATTGTATCATTTCATGGGTTTGCTGTGAGATGAATGTTATCTTTTAAATATGCTCACTTACATAGAATGGCTGTATAGTCCCTGCACACAGTAAGCATTCGTCCAATAATTACCTTACGATATTCTTTCTTCCTCTTCTTTGTCAGAAATAAGATTACAGAGAACATTTTTGTTCACATAGGTTCTCAGCAATTAGGGTTATTTCCTTTGGATAGTCGCCTACATGTAGAATGAGTAATAAATAATAATAATAAGTAAATTATTATTTATCACAATAAATTAATCACAATAAAGTTTTGTGTTAAATATGGGGCAATTAATTTTCAAAATATTCATATCCATATAATATTTACTGATTTGGTATGCAAGGGTGGCATCTTCTTTATTTTACCTTAACTTTTCTTTACTACTTCTCCTTTAAAATTATTTTCTCCCCCCCTTCATTTCCAATTCATATTCCTTGCTTTGTAAATAGATTCCTTTCATACTGTATCTACATATCAGACAGGGTTCTTGGGGATTGTTTTAACATTTTTATTAAAGTAACATTGATTCACAATACTACATATAATTTAGAAAAAATAGGCTCTCACTTTTTCAAATGTATGTTACTACACCTTACCCATTACCTTTGGGGTGGGGGGGGGAGTTGTATTTGTTCATTAATTGTTTAGCAGTGTAATCCTTGGAGTTTATGTCCTGAAAAAAATTCTCTATGCCGTTTTTTACCTTTAATGTTACTTTTTTATTATTATTAAACAAATTTGTTGACCTTTTCTGATTTTGGGTCCCATTTCTAAATACACAGAGGTTTTGTTCCCTCCAGAAGTTGACTTATATTCCCAATTTTTAATGCCTCCATTGATTTGCTTATCTTATTAGCACTTTAATTCTTATGTATGTTTTAATCTATTTCTGAATTATCTAGTTTGTGTTATTCATCTATTTTTATTCTAGCATCATGTTGTTTTAATTGTGATAGCTCTATATTATATTCATATGCAGTGTCTCATGCTCTTTTTATTGTGCCCACTGTGTAGTGCTATTTTTTTTTTCAATATAGTCAGAAGAGCCACAGAATGTTGCTTTTCTCTCAGGTTTTATGATGACCACTTCTAGGATTCTTCAGTGTGACTGTAGAATGTAGAGATACTCTTAAATGTCTCAGTAGGGACTTAAAGATTATTTAGTGTAAACTTCCTTTCAAAAAACCTCCTCTAAAACATCTCTGACAGGGTTATGAGTGGGTTGGACTTTATGATACTTGGCTTTCTCCCAAAGTTCCAATGTTTCTAAATGACCAACTACCCTTCCATAGTTGTTAAAATTAAGCTGACACTTTATAACTGCTTCCAATATTGAGGAATGAAAAATAGCAAGAAAATAAGGCACAAATTTTCATACCTTCTGATTTTAGCAAAAGAATTTGTCAGATAATCTGGTCATTTATCACTATCATGTCTTCCAGTGTGTCGTGTGCTCCCACAATTTCATCCCTTCCATTTCCCTCCCTTTTTCTCATGTGGTGTTCCCCATCCCCACCCACTTCCACTTTCATGAGCTTCCCTGCTGGCCTTCTTCATGTGAAATACAACCTGAGATCCAAATACTGTACTTGGATCTATTGTTCAAAATATACCATGCTATTGATACACTGCATCCTTAAATTCCATGCTCCAAATTCTTGACTTACCTGTGAGATAATATTTCTCTCCTTATGTTATTGTTTCATGTTTATTTTACCCCCCCCCCCCATGGCTAGCTTTGTGGAATTTTAAACTTTTGTTGTTGCTGATTTGTTTTGTTACCAATATGTTGTGCACTGGTACAATAGGTCCAGATTTTCAAAACCATCCACTGGAACATCATTGTCCCACAGTTAAGTAGGGTGGATATAATGCAAGTTTTATGTGGTGTAACTGCCATGACAAATGCTACATTTAACTTAGAAAGTTGCTTTCTTTGTGGTTTTTCTGAGACCTCCTATGCTAATGTGTAAGGTATAATCTCAAAGAGTGGTGTCTAGTATGTAGGATTCCCCAAATGTGAGTATTAACATCACCTGAGACCCTAGCATGCTCATTTAAACCAGACCCCTCCTTTACCTGTGGCACTCCTTTTCCACGCTGGCCCCCCTTTCTATGCCATAGGTGATCTTCCTGTGGAGTAGCTCACAATTTTGTTCAGCACTGAGCATTGTCACCCCCCAGTCTCAGATTTCAAAATATAGTTCTCTTGTGCTCAGGCACTGCCTGCAACCTTCTTTCCTGTTTGCCATGATACATGTTGTCACTTTCCAGAAGGCCGCACCTCTGGAGCCTTTATCCAGAACCCAGAATATCAGATTGTGTGTTTGGACACCATCTGTGTGACCAGCTGCTCCCTTCCTATATAAACCGG